TAATTATTTGGAAATATCTTATTCAAAAGACAGTATTTCCAGGGTTATTTGTGATACATAAATCAAAAGAATTCAAATCTTCAAATATAAAAAAGTGAGGCCAGTCTTTGCTACTCGTATGTGAATTTTAGCATTTTTTACTGTCTCTACTGTATCATATATGCAACAATGAATAGGAGATGTTAAAGCAGACAAATACAAGTAGGAAAATCTCATAATTACCAAGAAAGAATATGCTTTATGGAAAGAATAGGAAAATAATTTATTATTACATTAGAAGTATAAATACACTATGAATTGCAATGGAGAACATTGAAACACAAGTTACTTTAAAACATATTGATTTGAGAGTTAGCATGACTGTATTCCCGTGTATCCTGCTAAAATTCTCCTATGAACATTCTGTATTACTATCTCCATTTCTTTACTTTAATGATTCCATACAAACTGCCTTATATTCACTCTGTGTAATCTGGCTTCTGTGTTCTAATTACTTTATCAAACATCATTCTGAAGGAATATTAATAATCACCATGTTGCTAAGTCTAATCAGTAATTTCCATTTCAACTTAGCTGATTAGTTGACTGATCAGTATGATTTTTTAAAGTATGATTTATTTATTTATTTGAAAATCAGAGTTACACAGAGAAGGAGAGGCAGAAAGAGAGAGCGGTCTTTCTTCCGCTGGTTCACTCCACAATTGGCCTCAATGACTGGAGCTGCGCCAATCAGAAGCCGGGAGTCAGGAACTTCCTTTAGGTCTTCCCATGCTGGTTCAGGGGCCTAAGCACTTGGACTATTATCCACTGCTTTTCCAGGCCACAGCAAAGAGCTTGATCAGAAGTGGATCAGCTGGGACTTGAACTGGCACCCATATTGGACACCGGCACTGCAGGCAGTGGCTTTACCCTCTATGCCACAGTGCCAGTCCCCACTCAGTATGATTTGATATGGTGATATTTCTTTCTGGAAATTCTCACATCTCCTGTCCACAACACAACAAACTTGATTACTTCGTCTCTTATCACTATAGATTTCCCCTTTATTTTTCTTTTATAAAGCGTAAGAGCAACCTTTTCCTCAGATCCAGAATATATACAACTATATTGATATGCTTACTATTTGCACTATATTCTATTAATTTAGGAAATCACCTCCTGTTTCATGACTTCAGTTGCCTTGTATATTCATGACCATCAAATCTATATCTGCAGTTCTGACATTTGTTTAAGCTCTAAACCTATGTGTCCATGTGTGCTTTTTTTTTTTTTTTGACAGGCAGAGTGGACAGTGAGAGAGAGAGACAGAGAGAAAGGTCTTCCTTTTTCCGTTGGTTCACCCCACAATGGCATGTGTGCTTTTAAAACATTCCTTTGGATAGCTAAAACATCTCTAACTAATAAGTCCATATAAACAAGTTAAGGATGTTCCCTTGACATTCCCAGAAAGCATTCTCTTTCAGAAATCACTGTTTGAATAAATTGCCATAAAACACATCTGATTTGTCAATAAGAAAACTAAGAATTACATTTTATACATAGTTTAGTAACCCTAACACATTCAGATCTAAATAATAATAAAATCTATGGCTTATTCCATCTAAACACACCAAGTTATTTCTGTCTGCTGCCACTTCATGTCAGAACCATAGAATCCAAATATGTTACACTTTTCATTAAGACTACTAGAATAATGTCATTTCCCAGAGTTTTTAAAAATTTTTTTCCTCTTATCATTCAGCCATATGGAAATCCAACTTTCCATCTAATTGTCAATAGCTTTTTATTACTCTAATGATACAATGTCCTTAAAAGTCTCTACTAAGATCTTATAAACTATACTTTATACAATATGCATATGTAAATTATTCTATTAGATAAAACAGCAGTAAAACTCTTACTCCCAATAAGATTGCTGAGTAAAAAGCAGAAATATCAATCAAATAATTCCACATGCAATTGTTAAAATGCAATGAGCTGGTATTAAAATGTCTACAAAACTTTGTGAGTCTGTAATAAGAATGCTTGCTGTAAGTGTTTTAGAGAAGGAAGCACTGATCTTGTCAGAAATATGTTAGCAGAAATCTGTGGGAAGATTCAGATTTAATTACTAAAAATAAAGACGCCTCAATTACTGTATACTTGAGTCACATTTAAAGCACTTAGAGATTACTTATACCCTCTACATGTGAAAAACATATTTTGCATGGTTCTCTTCATTTGTATCCATTAAGTTTCATTTTACAACCCATGAAAGCAGTTTCTTTGTTGAGTGTGTCCTGAGAAAGACCAAATATTCTTCTATTAGTTGTAATGTTCTATCAATTATAGTAAGTGGCTTGTAGAAATATCAGCTGTTAAGTATGGGTTTGTTTTCTCTTTCAGTTCACTGTGTTTGTGATTTATGCATTTTTTTAAGATTGATTTATTTATTTGAAAGGCAAAGTTACAGAGAAGCAGAGGCAGAGAGTGAGAGAGGTCTTCCATTAGCTTGTTCGTTCCCTAAATGGCCACAACAACGGGAGCTGGGCCGATCCGAAGCCAGAGGCCAGGAACTTCTGGGTTTCCCGTGTGGGTGCAGGGGCTCAGGGACCTGGGCCATCTTTTACTGCTTTCTCAGGCCATAGCAGGGAGCTAGATTGGAAGTGGGGCAGCCAGAACTTGAAGCAGCACCCAAATGGGAATCTGGCACTGCAGGTGGAGGCTTTACCTGTTATGCCATAGAGCTAGTCCCAGATTCATGCATTTTCATGGTTTTGTATTGCATATGGATAAACTTTTATGACTGTAAAATTCACATGATTAATTGACCCTTTATCATTATGATATCTTCTGATGATATTCTTTTGCCTAAACTTAGGCATCTATATTAAAATAGCTATTCCAGCATTCTTTTAGTTAGCATTAATATAATACCCCATCATCTTTACGATATTCTATAGTTACATGGTTTCCATCTGTGCTTAAAAGGAAAACAACAAAGAAGGAAATGACTCATTGGTAGCTATGTTAGGGTTTGTTAACAACATTGATTTATAATATTTATAATATACAACTTTGTCAGCCTGCCTTCAACTGAAATATAACTTTACCTACACATAATTTACTTTGATATACTATTTCTTGAATTTTGTGGTACATTTCACTTTTACATACACCTAAGTACGTGGGCCATCTTCCACTGCTTTCCCTGGAACATTAACAGGAAGCTGCATTGGAAGCAGAGTAGACAGGGATAGAATCTCACAAGCATTGGCTTAACCTGCAGTCCCACCGCGCTGGTTGACTCACATGGTAACCCTTATATTTAACATTTTGAATGACTGCTAAATTGTTTGCCAAAGCAGATGTGCCTATTTACATTCCTACCGACAATAAGAAAGTTTCACTGATGGTGCTTGATCCATCAGTGGCTGTCTCCTAGGGGACACATTAGCACGAAACTGGAATCTGGAGCACAGTCAGGACTTGAACCTGGCCAGGTAATCTAATATGGGCTGCAGCCATCCCAAGCACCATCGTAAGCACTGTCTTAATGTCTTGACTATATTTGTATATACTAGTGACAAGTGCTGTAGTGCCTTTGTTTACTCCAAGATCTTTTTCAATTCTGATTTGTAACTGATTTTTCCCCTTGTTTCTTTTCCTTCTCTCCTTTACTACCTTGGTGAATTTCATTTTTTTTGAAATATTTATTTACTTATCTGAAAGGCAGAGTTACATAGAAAGACAGAGAGAGATATATTATATATATGTGTGTGTGTGTGTGTGTGTGTGTGTGTGTATAGAGAGAGAGGGAGAGAGAGAGAGAGCGCTTCCATCTGTTGCTTGACTCCACAAATGGTCACAACTCCCAGGGTTGAGCCAGACTGAAACAAAGAGCCTGCAGCTCCATCTGGGTCTCCCATGTGGGTGGCTCAAGCCCAAGTACATCTTCTGCTTTCTTCTCAGACACGTTAGCAGACAGCTGGATGGGAAGTGGCTAGCTTATCCTACTGAGCTACAGTGCTGGCCCCAGGACCCGTTTTTCCATGGATGCCAGGCAATGTAGTTTGAACTTTTTTGTAGGAGAATGTTCATCAACCAGGTTTAAGTTAGAAGCCAGGAACTCATTCTGGTTCTTTCACCTGGGTGGCAGGAACCCAGTTTCTTGAAACTGTTGCCTCTGTGTGTGTGTCAGCAGGAAGGTAGAATTGGGAGTGGAGCCTGAATCGCGCACAGGGATATAGGATTTGGGAGTCCCAAGCAACATTTTAACTTCGAGCCAAATGCCTGGCCCTGGAGTTTATTAAGAGCTAACACAGGTACTCTATTCCCCCTGCACAATGACGTTTCCAGCCTGATTGGTGGAAATAGTCACTATTTCTAACCCTGTGTGATCTCCAAGTATCCACAAAACCTCTGGGTAGTTTCCTTAGACACACACTGTTTGTACTCAGGTGAATGCTCTGTAAATTATAGAACTCTGAGCATTCTTGTTCCTATAACTTGCACAGAACATTACATCTCCAGAATTGCAGCTCTGGCTTGTCAAGACAGGCAATCCACTGTGCTGTTCTCCTTCTCTTCACATCGCAAAACTTAAAGGCATTATTTTTGAGCTGACGCTACTGACCCATCTCCAGGATCACTATTGTTCATTACTGACGCCCAACGTCTTGAAAGAGCGTCCCACTGTATTCCTTCCACCACAGCATTTAACTTTTAAAATAAACTGTGACGTCCGTGAACTCTTTAAAACCGAAAGGCTAGGCAACGTCAACGTCTCCCTGCTCCCCCCCTCTCCCCCCGCCCCGCACAGTGACAGAGTGACAAAGTATATATTTGCATTAGAGTCTAAATCCCGTTTCCCGTTTGCAGCAACGCCGAGGGGCTAGTGCGCAGGCGCACAGCTCCTGCGGCCGCGCCAGCGCCCCGATACAACTGCGCATGTGTTAAACCGCGAGGCGCGCTGACGCGTAGTTCGATCCGGTTAATCAGAGAACAAGATGATCCTTAATTCCCGCCCACTAGCTTGGCAGCCAATCGCTTGCGCTGGCGCGCAGTCCGCCGTGAATCCAAAACAGTGGGGTTGGGGGAGGGCAGCTGAGTGCGGCGCGGCTATGGAGGCGGCCGGGAGTGAGAAGGAAGCGGCAGTGCTAGAGTAAGTGCTTACTGACCGCAGCTGCCGGAGTGGGCTGCGGCGCCCTTGTGCCCCGCAGAGCTGGTTGGTCTTTTCGACTCCGAGGGTTTGCTGGGCCTTCCTTGGCCCCGCCGTGAAGTAATTCCGACCCCGGCTCTAGGTTTCTGAGTTTCGTCGTTCTCAGCACCCCCGCCCTTCCCGGACGCGCGAGCTTTTTGGGGCCGGATCCTACAGAGCGGGGGGTTCGTCCCTGTGTGTCCCCTAAGTCCCTTCGGTGCCGCAGGCGACTTCTCAGCCCCCAGCGACATCCTGGACGGCCATTTAATTTCTGCTTCTCTCTGCTAAGCAGCACTTTTCCAGACGGGTTACTTTACTCCTCATTCTGTCCCCCAGTACACTGCCGCTGCCCCTAAGAAAGAAAAATCAGGATACCTAGGCGAAGGCATCTGGCCCTCTCTCCCGTACCCGGTCTGAGCCTGCCCCAAGGCTAATGCCTGCTTTTCTCTGCTCATCTCCTTCTCTTCAAATCTTCACTCAAAACTCTCTTTTTTTTTTTTTTTTTCCCATTTAGATACTCCTTAGCCCCTTTCTCAAACTGCATATTCCAACACGCTTTGCTGACTTTGTTCTGGCACTTAGTAGCACCATTTGTTCATGCACACCCCATTCCTGGTCGCAAGCCCTCCAGGCCTTTTTGTTGGGTCAGGAGGATACTCAGCATTGGTAACACATGTGCACACACTTCAGAATGAGCATCTAAGAGGCTACAGTCTCTTTTCTTTTCTCCTTAAGGGTCCTTGCTGAAGTAGCAGACATCCCGGAGCCTGTAGGCCTGCAAGAGGAGGCCGAACTGCCAGCCCGGATCCTGGCCGAGTTTGAGAGGGTATGTAAAACATGGGAGCCAGCCTTTAAAGAGCCCGGGGGCTGGCTGGCCAGATGCTGGGCAGCAGAGATGGGAGCGTGCTGAAAGGTATCCTTGTTGGCCCACAGTGCAAGGCGGTAATGATGTTTCCTGCCTTTACCCTTCTGAGCAGAACTCACGGAAGAAAGACAAGCTGCTGTGCAGCCAGCTTCAGGTAGCAGACTTTCTACAGAACTTCCTGTCCCAGAAGGACACGACCCAGGGCCTGGACCCCTTGGTGTCTGAAGACACGAGCCGTGAGTAATCTGTACATTAGGGTAGATGCTGGCCTGGAGAAGGAAGAAGGATATCCGTTGTTGGGTTGGTGGGAAGACTGAGGCTCCATGGTGGACCAGCCTCATTTATACCCTCATTCCTGGTGGCTCTTCTCAGGACAGAAGGCAGTTGAGGCCAAGGAGCAATGGAAAGAGCTGAAGGCCACCTACCAAGATGACGTGGAAGCCATCAGAAGCACTGTGACCCATGCTCTAACCCAGATGGACGAGGCCCAGAAGAAGCGGATCCAGCTCCAGGAGGCTGTTGAGCAGCTCCAGGCCAAGGTGCATCCAGGGGCCTCGCGTGTGATGAGGGAAGGGAAGGCTGAGTAAGCTGGGTTAAACACACTTGGGCGTCTTCCAAAATCCAGCTAAAAGAATACACTTATTTCTCATCCACCTCCCTTGCTTATCCACAGAAACGGGTGGCCGTGGAGAAACTCAGAGCAGCCCAGGAGCAGTGGCGGCTGCAACAGGTAGGTCCATCTCTTTTGTTTGTTTGTTTGTTTGTTTACAGGCAGAGTTAGAGAGAGAGACAGAGAGAAAGATCTTCCTTCCGTTGGTTCACCCCCCCCAAATGCCACTGCAGCCAGCGCGCTGTGCTGATCTGAAGCCAAGAGCCAGGTGCTTCTCCTGGTCTCCCATGCGGGTGCAGGGCCCAAGCACTTGGGCCATCCTCCACTGCCTTCCTGGGCCACAGCAGAGAGCTGGCCTGGAAGAGGAGCAACCGGAACAGAGCCGGTGCCTCAACCAGGACTAGAACCCGGGGTGCCGGTGCTGCAGGCGGAGGATTAGCCTAGTGAGACGTGGCGCCAGCTGGAACATCTCTTTAGTAGAATATCCTGTCTCAGCACCATGCCATGTTCTGGGCCGTTCCTCTACCTAGAAAACCTTCAATTTATTTCCTGATTTGAGGCATTTGTAGATAGAAAATTGGGCTTGAAATTCAGCATCATTGTTTTAACACTGTGTGACATTGGGCAGGTCACTCAACGCCAGTATCATCTGTGAAATGGCGGCAGTGATATGTCTTAGCCTATACAGTTGTTAATTACTGTGAGTACATAAGATAGTGCCTAACACATAGCAAACTAAATAAGCTTTATCATAGTATTTGTGCCTTTTGCCCCCAGAATGTCTTACCCAGGAACAGCTTATTGTAATCTTTCCTTTTCTGTAATCTGCTCTGTGTAAAGTGGATAGTATTCTCTTTTTCTAGTGTCCCCAAACTGGTTCTAGGCTGGGGGAATACTTTAAGATTTTGGCTATGTGTGTACCCTCACTCTTGGCAGGAGAAGCATCTGAAGCATCTAGCGGAGGTTTCTGCAGAGGTAAGGGAGCGCAAGACTGGAAAACAGCAGGAGCTTGAACAGCTGCGTCAGGAACTTGGAATCTTGCAGCAGCAGGCAGGAATGGTGCAGGATAAGCTGCAGAGGTGAGTGTGGGAGCGTGAAGTGCAGACCTCGGCTGGTCCAGCTGTGGTTCCCTCCCCTCATACCTACCTTTTCCTTCTAGGCACCAGACCTTCCTTCAGCTGCTGTATACCCTGCATGGTAAGCCGCTGTTCTCTGAGGCTGACGCTGAGGCCAAAGCAGAGGCCGAGCTACCACAGGAGTTTCTTCACCTGAATCTTCCTGAGGAAAAGCCCCGAAAGCTGACCTGCCCCCAAGAGCAGAGCAGAATACTGGAGTGGAACACTGGGGACACCATGGAGAGAGACCATGAAGTGTCCTCCAAGGTGAATGAGAGATATAGGACAGATGGGCCAGCAGGTGGAGAGAGAAGTTGAGCGACTGACCTTACATGCTGCCCAGATTATGTTCTTCCAAGGCCAGCAGCCTGTATTTTGCTGTATATATGACCTTGCCTTGGCTCCTTAGTGGTCAGATGTATGGGGAAGGATTCTAGAGTATAAAGAAGTAAACTCAGTCTATAGTGTGTCTCATATAGGAGAGAAAAAATGAAGGGTCTGTCATCTGTCTTTTGTTGGCGTATATGTTTTGCCCATGTAGCAGACTGGAAGTGGAAAGGAGAAAAGAACTTTTGTTATGGTTGAAGCTTAGCCCTCAGCCCTATGCCCAACTCACCCAGGGATAAACCCTCTCTTCTTTTCCAGCAGGATGGTCTGTGAACTCCAGAGTGCAGCCTGATTTATGACCTGACTCATGTAGGGTAAGCTCTGGAGTCTTTCTGAATTGAATGAAACTTTACTCTGTAAAGGCCTTCTCCATCTCTAAACCAGTGTTTTTAGCTTTCATATCTGTACCTACTTTAGTAAGTTACTGCATTGGAAATGGAGCAGCGGGGACTAGAACTGGTATTCAGATGGGATTCTGGCATTGCAGGCAGTAGTTGAATGTACTGTGCCACAACTCTGTCCCCTTCACCTTCATTCTTGAAAAGTAATTTTGTCAGGTAAAGAATGGAGACAGGCATTTCACTTAACACATTGAAGGTGTTTACCTGTGATTATCTGGCGTTCCCTGCTGCATATTTAAAGGCCCTTTCTGTGACACCTTGCTTTACACATTGGCTACTTAGAAAATCCTCTAAATTTGCCACTGTATAGCTTTGTTGTGAATAGTTTGGGTTTCTGGTTTATTTATATATTTTTCTGGTTGTAGTTCATTGAATGTTGCAAATCAACAAAGTTCTTTCAGCAATTCTGGATCTTCACAGCCTATTGCTTTAAAAAGTGCTTACCTTGGTTTGTATTAACTTTGTCTAAGACACACATTAGACGTGAATTAAATTTTCTCATTTTTTTCTTCGTGTATTTACTTTCTTTTGTGTTTATCATTATTGCTTGTAGGTTGCTTACTATGTCCTTTGTTTTGTTAAATTGTGGTTAGCTTATCTATTTAGCTGTCAGTTTCTTTTAAATTTTTGTTTTTCATCAAGACTGTATAATAGACCCCAATCTACTTTTTTGTATATTTTGTCATTCTAGTTCATATTTTGAGTGTATCTTTTGTAACTCTAAACATGATATGTGTAAATATTTTGTTTATCTTTGTGGAAAAGGTTCATAATTTACCACTTTGTGGGCTCTGTTTCATACTGCCTGTTTATTTGTATGGCTAATGGGCTTAGGTAGTTTTACTGTGGGATGTACATTTTTCTTGAACTTTGTCATTTGTGTTACTTAGTGGCCTAGAAAAACTGAGAGGAGTTTTGTTTACTTCTGCAGATAGCTTGGGGGTACTACCATATAACACTTAAAAAATTTAAACTAACATATATTTTAATATTCTCTATATATGTATGGTATATCTGCTGTTTTATTTTCATTCTTAATGTTTGTGGATTTTCTCAGTATTTCTCAAGATTTTTAAAAATTTTGTCTTTGTATATCATTAACTTTGGCTTTTGTGCTGTTTTAGTTTTGTTCTTTTTATTTCATATTTTGATTTTTTAAATTTTTTAACATTTTTGAAGTTTTTAAACATGAATATTTGTTATACACTTTTTTATTTCTCATATTACAATAAATAGATTTTTATTTTAAAGACTTATTTATTTATTTGAAAAAGTTACAGAGAGAGGGAGAGACAGATCTGTTGGTTCACTCCTCATCTCTGCACAATGGCCAGGGCTGGGCCAGAGTGAAGCCGGGAGACAGGAGCTTCATCCATATCTCCCATATGGGTGTCAGGGACCCAAATACTTGAGCCATCTTCCAGTGCTTTTCCAAGGAAATCTCCCAGTAGGGAGCTGTTTGGGAAGTGGAGCAGCTGGGACTTGAACCAGCACCAATTTGGGATGCTACTGTCTTCAGGCATTGGCTTTACCTGCTATGCCATAATACTAGGCCAAGGAAATATATTTTAATTATACATTGTATTTTATTATCACTCTTAAGAATATCATAGATTTTAATATGTAGGCCATTCATTTTCATACTTTTATTTGGAATAAAGGAAGCTTTATTGATTTTACTTCTCATATGTATTTAGAATAATGTTTAGTTCCAAAGTAGATTTAGATAATTAGTAACATTGAATGGACAGACACTAGGATGGATCCTCTTTTTGGTGTGTTGCTACTGAAAAATAAGTAGAATACAATGATTATAATGACAAATTGCTGGATATTATACCATTCAAAATACTTGTTAATACAGTTCAACTACAGTGGTCCTAGATGGTGATAGTAACCCTTTTAGGTAAGTATGTACTTACATAAAATGGTGAATTGTCTATCCCAAAGCTCAGTGCATTTTGTTATATCATTGAGTGCTTATGATTATTTTTTAACATTGGAAAGCATTTCCAGTAATGTAAAATCACCCTTTGTACCTCTGTTTACCAGTAGTTTTAAGGCTAACACCTGAAAGTAGAAAAAAAAAATCCAAAAAACAAAAACAAAAACTTGATCTGTACCATAAAATGTGTATGTTAATAGAGAATATTTCTCTGTTTCTCATCAGTTAGCCAAATAATTGTGATTTTTTTTTTACAAATTCCCTATGAGTACTATAGTAATTTTTTTAAAGGTTTTATTTATTTATTTGAAAGTCAGAGTTACACAAAGAGAGGAGAGGCAGAGAGAGAGAAAGGTCCTCCATCCACTGGTTCACTCCCTAGATGGCCGCAATGGCCGGAGCTGCGCTGATCCGAAGCCAGGAGCCAGAAGCTTCTTCCAGGTCCCCGACATGGGTACAGAGGCCCAAGGACTTGGACCATCTTCTACTGCTTTCCCAGGCCATAGCAGAGAGCTGGATTGGAAGAGGAGCAGCCGGGACTAGAACCGGCACCCATATGGGATGCCAGCACTTCAGGCCAGGATGTTAACCTGCTGCACCACAGTACCGGCCCCAAACTATAGTAATTTTTAGCAACCATGTGCAATATTCAGAAGTTACTAGAATTTAAAGATAAGAGGAGCTCCTTTTTAGGTGCCTGTGTTACCCTTGGCACTAGCAATGGGCTGTTCTAATTTTCTTAATAGAGCATTAGCAAAAATTTTATTTGATTAAAAATGATGCTGTAAAAAATGTGTTTTTAGTTTATTTTACCCCACCCTTCTATCTCTGCTCCCATCTCAGGAATTACTCAGGAACTGTTTTGCTAAATTCAGCTCTCTTACTGTGGTGTTGCTGATGGTGGTGATCTGAAAGAGAAGTACTTACTGAAAAAAATGTAATATCAAAAAATACATACTAGCAAATAATCAGGTGATCCTAATCATCTTCATATATTGTGTAACTTTTGTATTGGAAGAAAACTAAGATAATGGGATTTCATGTGTCTTAAATAATTTTATTTTTATATTTAAACAATTACATGTCTTTGACCTTTGCATTATATTTTATGTAGGCCTAGAAACTTAATCCCCAATAAATTGGATACCATTTAATGAGAATACTTCAATTAATTGGATTAATATTGACTGTTACAATGTTATATTTAATTTTGTATTAAAAACTTAGATTATACAACTGTTTAATATTGTGTTTTAGTTTTTGCTAGATATCTTGAGTGTGAAATATTTAATATATATACATATACCTTTACTTATGTGTTCAGTTGTGAAGTCTGAGATCTTTCATTATGATTGAATTCAGTTTGCTTTATTTTATAAGGAATTATTTATTTCAATCATAGAGACACCTGGTAGCAACAGGAAACTCATCTGTTTTTCTTGCAGTACTGATTGCTACCAACTGCTTGCTGTTTTTTTAACATGGATTTCTTGCTTATTTGTAAAGAAACTGTATGACAGCTTGATTAATTTGTATCAGGAATAGCATTTACATTTAGTACTGTCTTAGAATTCAAAAAGTATTTCCTTCTTGGGTATTTGTCCTAGTTTGAAAATATTAAAGTTTTGTGAGAAGATCATTTATCTGTTTTGTTCAGTCTCAGTTGAAATTTATAATATTTCCTATATCATTCATTAGATGAACTTTGTAATTTAAAAATGGAAAAATTGAAAAACCTAATTTTTCTTCAGCCGTCATATCACTGTTTTTACAAAAGTACACATGCTTGGCAGGAAAGGTCAATAAATAGTCTTCTTCCTTATAACAAATCCTACAAAGGTTTCATTTATTGGGTACTTTATTTCTTAGTCCTTTGATTTATAATTTCTTTAACCCCTTGAGCCATTTAATATTAATGTGTAGTGCCCCTCTTGCATTGGTCCAAAAGCTCACTTGATTTACTCTTCTTTTGCTATTGAGTAAGAAAAAACAAGCTTCTGTTATTTCTAATACTCTATCGAGTAAAGGTTGCTTGCTGCTTTGTTGAGTGTTTTGTTGAACAGCCTATATCTGGCCAAATAAAGTGAAAAATGTACTTGTGTATTCTCTTTACTTTTAACATTTATTATTATAAGTATATTATGTGGCATGAGAATAACCCTTTGAAGGCAACCAGAGGCTCTTTGAACACAACATTTTTTCTTCATGAATTCATCCTTCAAAACTGCATTTGAAAATTCATGGAATAATGAAGTCCTAGGAGAATCAAGTTAACCACGTAGGATATAATCATAACAAAACATTCAAGCATTCTTTGATCACAAACATCTTTGAGTATCTGTGGCAGGGTTTATAATTGAGTTTAGATGAAAGGTATCATGTTGTACCAAATTTTTGATTGGCTTTGATCCTAATGGTTATAAAGTGTTCTGTATAAAAGGGTTATCACTGATCGTCATTCTCAGTAGTCAACCCTGGCTCTTTTGCCCACTGACTGAATGACAAACTATTTTTCTCCATTACTCACAGAAACCAGTTCATCCACTGTCTATTTCATAGACACATTCCATTTAAAATCTCTCTCCTGACTACTAAAATATAGTTAAACCAACATAAAATAAATATTCTACAAAAATATGTGAAAAGGGGACTCTCCGTAAGAGTAGATCTAGAGAATCTCTTGGAATGTGGGCTGTGAAACAAGCCTTTGTAGTGGGTATGTGTGATTAGGGACTTAAGGACAGCTTGGGGAAATAAGCTGGGGAAAAATCCAAATGTAAGATAATGTAAATATGTCTGGGGACAGCAGCTAGTAGTAATGTGGCTAGAAAAAAGATGTTCTGTATATGAACTTATGACTGGGAGAGAATTATGTGCTAGACTGCAAATGCAGTTTTGCTGGACAAATCACAGTAAATGTTATCTCTTTGAAGAAGTTTAAGGAGCCAGTGCTATGGTAGAGCGGGTTAAAGCCCAGGCCTGCAGTGCCTACAACCCATATGCCAACCAACATCCATGCCAGTTAAAGTCCCGGCTGCTCCACTTAAGATCCAGCTCCCTCTTAATGCACCTGGGAAAACATCAAAGGATGGCTCCAGTCATTGGGTCCCTTCATCCACGTGGGATACCAGGAAGAAGCTCCTGGCTCCTGCCTTCAGATCAGATCAGCTCCAGCCATTGCAGCCATTTGGGAGTGAACCAGTGGATAGAAGACCTCTGTTTTTCTGTCTCTACCTCTTTCTGGAACTCTTTCAAATAAATAATTTTTTTAAAAAAAGTTTGAAGATCAGAGACAAAGACAGTAGAAGTTAAAACTTTTCATGTTGCTTGTCTTAATTTTTTTTGCCTACTTGATTATCTTTTCATTGAAAGCAACATGTTTTTGTCAGTTAACACTTTTTCCCCTCCAGAAACCTTTTATTTAAGGAATGCAAACTTATGCTTTTTCATAAATATATGTTTAGGTATATAGTGATTCTTCCATAGCTACCTGCCTTGCCACCCCTATCCCACCCCTCTTCCTTCTCTTTTTCCTATTCCCATTCTTATTTTTAACAATGATCTATTTTTGATTAACTTTATACACATTCCATTACCTCTAAGAGCTCAACAAATTGTATAAAAAACAAAAAAGACTGTTCCTCAATAATCAAGACAAGATCTGTTCAAAGTAATTGCATTTGAAGTGTTAATTTTACTTCCATAGATTACCTTTTAGGTGCTCTATTTGTTATCAGAGATGTGGAAGAACATAGGTTTTCCGTCCTTTTGGGACTGGCTTATTTTGCTAAGTATGATGTTCTCTAGCCTCATCCATTTTTTTTTTTTTTTGCATGTTTCTTTACTACTGTGTAGTATTCCATGGTGTATACATCTCAGAATTTCTTTATCCAGTCTTCAGTTGAGAGGCATTTGAGTTGATTCCAAATCTTACCTATTGTGAATTGAGCTGCAATAAACATGGGGTGCAGATAACTCAAGTGCTGATTTCATTTCCCTTGGGTGCCGGTTTGAGTCCCAGCTGCTCCATTTCCAATCCAGCTCTCTGCTATGGCCTTGAAAAGCGGTAGAAGATGGCCCAAGTCCTTGGGCCTCTGCACCTGCATGGGAGACTAGGAAGAAGATCCTGGCTCTTGACTTCAGATCGGCGTAGTTCCAGCCATTGCGGCCAACTGGAGAGTGAACCAGCAGATGGAAGACCTCTCTCTCTTTGCCTCTCCTTATCTCTCTGTGAAACTCTGTCTTTCAAATAAATAAATAAACCTTTAAAAAATTTATTCGAATCATTTGATTTTTTTGTAGCCTTTGTTAATGGGATTGATCTTGTAACATCTTTCTCAGCCATGGGATTGTATGGGTACATAAAGGCTATTGATTCTATGTGTTGTTTTGTGTATCTTGTCATTTTACTAAACTTCTCTATGAGTTCCAATAGTCTCTTAGTGGAGGCTTTTGTATTTCCTCTATATAGAATCATGTCATGTGTAAACAAGGATAGTTTTACTTCTTTCTTCCCAATTTGTATCAATTTGATGTCCTTTTCTTGCCTGTTGGCTCTGTGTAAAACTTCTAGGACTATGTTGAATAGCAGTGGTGAGAGTGGGCATCCTTGTCTGGTTTCTGATCTCACTAGGAGCACGTCCAGCTTTTCCCCATTCAGTGGGATGCTGGCTATGGATTTGAAATAAATTGCCTTTAGAATGTTCCTTCTACGTCAAATTTTATTAAAGTTTTCATCATGAAAAGGTGTTGTATTTTTTTTTTTTTTGGACAGGCAGAGTGGACGGTGAGAGAGAGAGACAGAGAGACAAAGGTCTTCCTTTGCCGTTGGTTCACCCTCCAATGGCCACCGCGGCAGGCGCGCTACGGCCGGCGCACCGCGCTGCCAATGGCAGGAGCCAGGTGCTTATCCTGATCTCCCATGGGGTGCAGGGCCCAAGCACTTGGGCCATCCTCCTCTGCCTTCCCGGGCCACAGCAGAGAGCTGGCCTGGAAGTGGAGCAACCAGGATTATATGTTTTGACAAAATTTTACTTAAACTTATCAATGCAAACACACACACACACACACACACACACACTATTGGCTTGGAAAGCAAACAGCTAGATAAATATAAAAATCTTGTTTTGTTATCAAAGCAAATACATTCAGAAACTAGAAGGCCTTACTAATGAAGAAACAAATAAGCCAACTTATTAAATGTTCATCAAACTCTTACAGCTCAGATGCATGTATTCCTTACTCTCCTTTTGTGTTAGGTATAGCCATATGACTAGGTTACAACCAAGAGTGTATGTACTGAAATAACTAATGCCATGTCAAAGCCCTGCTCATGAAATCTTTTGACCCATCATCTTCCATTCTTTTTTCTCTATCTGCAGGATACATGGCGAGGATACCTGTGGGGAGCAACCCGGACTGGACTGAGTTACTGGAATTAAGACTTATTCTATGCATCTGCTTTCCCACAATATGGCGCTGAGAAGGGAAACAGCTTCTACACAGCTGCCTCCAGTTCAACCAATAAACTGTGGGACCTGCTCCTGATTGTAGGAGAGCAGCGTACTCGGCATGTGGGTAGCAGAGTTGGGATTGGTGGAAGAGGACTATAAAGGAGGAGAGAGATGGCATGCACCAGGAACATCTAAGGGGAACATCTGAAGGAACACCTGTGCAGCCCCCGAGAGAGCCGGCCAGCGGTGTGCTGCTCCCCCGCGGAAGTGGGGAAAGTGGCAGGGGGAACTGCCCTTCCACGGAGGTGGAAGGGACGGTAGCCAACCCGGGAAGAACCAGCAGCAAACCTGGGGAAGGCCGAGCAGACGAAAGAACAGCGCAGGGTCCTGTGTCGTTCCTCCACGAAGAGGGGGAGCGACATAATGGTGCCGTGACTCGGATAAGAAACTTAGGAGGGAAGAAATGGGAAAATACCGGAGAGAGAGACTAGCAAAGAGCCTAGGGGAAAGCCGGACGAAAAAGGTGTCGGAAGAAGCTATTGAAAGCCTAGGCATAGACTCGGATATGGACTGTGGGAAAGAAGTTAGGATTGAAAGCGAAAGTGAAAGCTTTCATAGACTTGGATGCAGACTATGGCGGGGAAACTAGGAGATTGAAAGTGAAAGTGAAACCTGGAGGAGGCTTGGACTCGGATACGGACTGTGGGGAGAAGCCAGGAGAAATGAGAGGAATATTGTTGGAAGAAAACTTAAGGAAACATACCGGGTAGAGAAAAATGTTAGGGAGGATGAAGCCACGAGTGCAGGCCGAGGCGGAGACGTAAGCCACCTTGGAATTCTTCAAGTCACCCCGGGGAGCAAGAGGCGAAGATCTGGAACCAGAGGCAGAGACGTGGGCCGCCAGGTTGGAATTCGCCAGGTTAGTCCGGGGAACTTGGATTGAATGCTAGTGGCGGAGACGTAAGCTACGCTGTGTGACTCGCGGAAGCCGCCGCATGCAGAGAGAGCACGGGGCGTGAATAGATAGGGAACGCGGGGCTGGCGCGAGGCCGTGGTGCGGACGTGAAAGGCGTGGAGACCGCGGAGCGCGCGAAGCCAAGCCGCGCAAAGCCGGGAAGCCGCGCAGATGAGAGAGGCGCGGGCTGAAGCGGCTCAGAGCCGGGAAGCCGCCGAGAAGTAGCCTCGGGGCGGGCGCCGGGAAGCCGCAGGGATAAGAGAAACAGAAATTTAGAAGTAAAATGAGAGAAATAGGAATGCTGGCAGATAGAAGTAAAATAGGAATGCCCGGAGGTAGAGAAATGGAGAAAAGTAAGGCCTCCCCTCAACATGGCAATGAGAAGGCTTGGATTCGGTCTGCCTGATTAGTAAGGCGGAAAGCACCAGCAGGCGGCTCGACCAGAGTATGAGCTGCAGGTCACCGAAGATAGGCACGAGTTAACATCAATAAGTCTCCCCACAAGACGGCAATGAGAGGGCTTGGATTCGGTTTGCCTGATAGGACTTGTAAGCACCTGCAGGCAGTTCTAGCAGAGTAGAGCATGCGCTGCAGGGCACCGAACACAGGCACGCATCAGCGCCTAAAAACCTCCTCGCAACATGGCGAAGAGAGGACCCGGATTCGGTTTGCCTTATTGGTAGGGCTTGTAAGCACCTGTGGACAACTCCAGCAAGCAGAGCAGAGTGTGTGCTGCAGGGCACCGAAGACAGGCGCGTATCAACGCCAAAAATAAAAAGAAAGGGGGATCTGTGGGGAGCAACTGGGAGCAACTCGGACTAGACTAAGTTACTGGAATTAAGACTTATTCTATGCATCTGCTCTCCCACAATATGGCGCTGAGAAGGGAGAAACAGCTTCTGCACAGCTGCCTCCAGTTCAACCAATAAACTGTAGGACCTGCTCCTGGTTGGAGGAGAGCAGCGTACTCGGCGTGTGGGTAGCAGAGTTGGGATTGGTGGAAGAGGACTATAAAGGAGGAGAGAGACAACATGCACCAGGAACATCTAAGGGGAACACCTGTGCAGCCCCCGAGAGAGCCAGCCGGCGGTGTGCCGCTCCCCCGCGGAAGTGGGGAATGTGGCAGGGGGAACCGCCCTTCCACGGAGGTGGAAGGGTCGATAGCCAACCCGGGAAGAACCAGCAGCAAACCTGGGGAGGGCCGAGCAGACAAAAGAACAGCGCAGGGTCCTGTGTCGTTCCTCCACAAAGAGGGGGAGCGACAGATACCGAACCATAAGCAAAGTAGAACCATAAAATGGAGTGAGCTTGAGTCTTTGTCACTTGGAAGAAAACTCCTTAAGTAAGGACAACTGTTGGATTTCTCCATGAGTAGGGGTAAAATGCTTTGTATTAAATGAAGCCCTTGGAATACTGAGGTGGTTATATCAAGCATCTTCAGCCTCCTTAATCCTACCCTGATTTCCCCAAACAGATATTTCAATAAAATTCCCTTTAACGTGATAATACTTAAACATCTGTTTTACTAGAAAAAAACTTGTTGAAAGAACTTCATCTCCAGTTTTAAAAAAATGTAGGCTTTAAATGGAATTTTGATTGAAGGAAAGAATTCCAGTTGTATGAAATACTCTATTGCCCACACTAAAGAATGAAAACTGTATGTATATATACTTCAGTAACTTTTGCTTTAATCTCTCTCATTATGTGTTTAAAGGCAAAATATATCTGATGAATTAAAAATTATGGAGCTATTTATAGCTTAAAATATATAAATCATAAAATATTCCTGTATTCTTAGGTAGACTAAATAGTATTAGTCACCTTGCATCAACGTATAGGCAATTGATCAAAGTTTATAAACCCCTTTAATGTGAATTTTAAAGTGATTAATGAATTCTTTACTTACTAAACCTTAAGCAGATAAAAATTTTGTTTGGTGAGTTTCTAATATACCTAGCCTCATCCTGTAAATTGGAAAACTGCCAAAAGTTGCTAAAGTTTGGAATTTTAATATTCTTCTAGATTCTTTGATAAATTTCTTTTGTTTAAGTTGCTGCTTTTTTATCTACTAGGAGTCATTGAATTATGTATAGTTGTATCATATCTGTGCTTCCCCTTTCTACTACTCAGATCACTTGCATGACATACTTGTCTGCCTGTATGCCTAGTACGGACTAAAGAGCTTGTAAGGAGATGAATAAGCCATAATCAAATGATTTTCCATTTTTTGAGTAAAGTGTTATGATTCCTTATTACTGTTTTGGATCTAATACTGGGGGATTTTATACTTCAATGGAAAATTTTTAAAAATGACTATAATTTTTTACCTTTATCTGTATTTTAATATTTAGCAGCCATATGCAATCTTTTACATTTTTTTTGGACAGGCAGAGTTAGAGAGAGAGAGACAGAGAGAAAGGTCTTCCTTCTGTTGGTTCACCCCCCCCCCAATGACCCCTGCAGCCTGCATGCCACGCCAATCCAAAGCCAGGAGCCAGGTGCTTCCTCCTGGTCTCCCATGTCGGTACAGGGCCCAAGCACTTGGGCCATTCTCCACTGCCTTCCTGGGCCACAGCAGAGAGCTGGACTGGAAGAGGAACAACCGGGACAGAATCTGGTGCCCCAACTGGGACAAGAGCCCGGGGTGCCGGCGCCGCAGGCGGAAGATTAGCGAAGTGAACTGTGGCACCAGCCCATCTTTTACATTTTAGAATTTACCTTGTAACTATTTTACCCATATTCTATCTAATCACATGCTCATGGGAATAAGAACTTTATAGGATAGTGAAGTTTAGAGATAGTGGGTTTTTTCCCATTTTTTTTCTCATGAACTCATTGTTTTTGAAAACTCTGTTAACCTATAAACATCATCTTCTTATATTATCTTTTTTAACTGAGTTAAGTTAGAAATCCCAAAGAAATGTCATCCTTACATTAAAAGTATAATTAATAATAAAACTGAAAATTTTGATTTTCAATAGTATAATGTTTTGGTATAATCTCTGAATATTTTAAGATAGTTGAGTTATAATAGCAATACTTGTGGACGTTCAGTTGTATTGTGCAACCTTTTTTCAATAACAGAAAACCTGGAAGCTAATTATTACGGAAGGAGATATGTTTTGGCTCACAGGCAAAGATTGAATGGGCCTCATTGGTTTGACCACCCTGTGAGGCCAGAGGTTGTAAATGGCATAGGAGCTATGGAAGAGCAGTCACCTGGGAAGACAGTGGGTAGACCCAAACTCAGCTTATACAACTAAGTTTCTTGGAAGAACTGTGTTTCAAGGGCAAATACTGAAAGACCAAAGAACTTCCTTTGAGGCCCAAATCCATAACACCGTCATTAGCTTAAGTATCTACCCTCTTTATACTGTTAACTTATGACTTGGGAGACAAATTTTATTCAAACCATAGCAATAGGAAGGTAAGAAATGTTTATATTGCATTTGTTACTAATTAGTACTCTCATTTATTTTATTTTATTTTTTTAAATTTTTGACAGGCAGAGTGGACAGTGAGAGAGAGAGAGACAGAGCGAAAGGTCTTCCTTTACCGTTGGTTCACCCTCCGATGGCCACTGCAGCCGGTGCGCTGCGGCCAGCACACCACGCTGATCCGAAGCTGGGAGCAAGGTGCTTCTCCCGGTCTCCCATGCGGGTGCAGGGCCCAACCACTTGGACCATCCTCCACTGCACTCCCGGGCCACAGCAGAGAGCTGGACTGGAAAAGGGGCAACTGGGACAGAATCCGGTGCCCCGACCGGGACTAGAACCCGGTGTGCCAGTGCCACAAGGCGGAGGATTAGCCTAGTGAGCTGCGGTGCCAGCCACTCTCATTTATTTTTATTAGTTTTTGTAACACTTTAATGGCCTAGGTATTTATCAGCAATGAGAAATTGCCTTATAGGCAGTAAAACTATTACTTTACAGTTTGCCTGTTAAAATCTGAAATATATTTTAAATACTTTGAAAATCATTAAGACAATGTATTTATCATAGCTGCTTTAGTGTATTTCTGAATAAAAAGTCAAGTTTTGATACCTTATACTTCTTGTACTCTCAGATGCAATTCATTTGACATTCACAACATTTTATGGAAAGTAATAATTAGTTCTAACTCATTATCTTCTCTTATTTATTATCACTGTCAGATGCTTTGGTAATTTCATGATAGGTCTACAAGAATTATCTTTGCAATGTGTGTTGATATGTATTCTCTTTATACATTTGAGCCTTATGTGCCAGTGAATTAAACTGAATTCATCAGACATAACGTCAGGGTACCTTGAAAACTGGAACTGAATGTAACTAGATGGATAGAGACTTGGTGGTAATCTCCAAATGACTGGGGGAGGCATATTCCAAACTACAGTGTTATACTCCAAATTATATAGATACTGTGTTTTTCTTTTTTGTGGAAAGTTATACATGGCAAAGTTACCATTTTAACTGTTTTTTGTTTGTTTATTTTTATAATTTATTTCATTGAAATAAAGAATGATAAAGAGATCTTTCATCTGTTGGTTCACTCCCCCAAATAGCTGCACCAGCCAGGTCTGGGCCAGGTTAAAGCTAAGAACTAGGAACTCCATCCTGGTCTCCCAGATGAGTAGCAAGGGCCCACATACTTGGGCCATCATTTGTTGCCTTCCCAGGCACATTGACAGGAAGGTAGATCAAAAGCAGTATAGTTGGGATAGCTGACACTCTGATATGGAATATTGATATTGCAAGTAGCAACTTAACCCACTGCACCACAACAGAGGTCCCCATTTTAACCATTTCTAAGTGTACAGTTAAGTGGTATTAAGTGCCTAACCATTGTTCTGCACCATCATTATCATCCATCTCTAAAACCATATCCATCTTTATTAACTGAAATCATGTACCCATTAAATGATTACATACCATCCCTCCCTTTCCAGCTACTGGAAACCACTGTTCTAATTTCTATGAATGTCTAGGTACCTCATGTTAAGTAGAATGATACAATTTTGTGACTACATTATTTTACTTAACATAATGTCTGTAAGATTAATCCTTATTGTAGCATATACCTGCATTTCCATCTCCATTTTAGACTGAAAAAAATATTTCATTCTATGTATATACACATTTTCTTTATATATTCATCTACTAATAGACAGTACTATTGCTTCATTTTTTGGTTATTATAAATAATTCTACTTCATCTTTTGGGTATTTGTAAACAATGCTCCTCTGTGCTTGAATATACAAGTGTCTGTATGTGTCCCTCCTTGTGATTCTTTTGTGTCTATTCTCAGAAGAGGAATTCCTATGTTATATGGTAATTCCACCTGTAATTTTTAGATGCATCAATTTTATGATTTTCACACCAAATATAGCATATTACATTTTCCTAGCAATGTACAGTGGATCCAATTAATTAGCATTCTTGCTAACATTTTTTTGTTATTTTGATAATATTGAGACTAATGACTGGGAAGTAGTTTTGTTTTACATTTCCCTGTTTATTAGCAGTAATTTTGATTTCTTTGAAGAAATGACTATTCAGGTTCTTTACCATTTTTTAAATTTGTTTTATTTTTGATGTTTCCAAGTCATAGGAGTTCCCTCTATAGCCTGTATGTTAATCTCTTATCAGATATGTGATTGTAAATGCTGTCATTCTGTGTTAGCCATTTCACTCTGTTGATTATGTCATTGATATATGATTTTTTTTGTTTAAGTTTTGAAGTCCAACGTGTCTGTATGTTTCCTTTGTTGTCTTGCTTTTGGTGTCATATCCAATATAATTGTGTAAATTAATATTTAAATTAAATGTAATAAAGTTTCCTTCAATGTACTTTTCTAAAACTTTACTGTTTTATTTTATATTTAGGTCTTTATTACATTTAAAGTTCATTTTTATATGTGGTATTAGATAAGAATCCAACTTCATTTTTTTGTATACAGATATCCAGTTCCTCTAATGCCATTTGTTGAAAAGACCACTCTTTCCCCCATTGAATGGTCTTTCACTCTTATTGAAACTTGTTGCTCCTAGGCTTCCTATCCGAGTCACGGCACCATTATGTCACTCCCCCTCTTCGTGGAGGAACGACACAGGACCCTGCGCTGTTCTTTTGTCTGCTCGGCCCTCCCCGGGTTTGCTGCTGGTTCTTCCCGGGTTGGCTACCGTCCCTCCACCTCCGTGGAAGGGCGGTTCCCCCTGCCACTTTCCCCACTTCCGTGGGGGAGCGGCACACTGCCGGCCGGCTCTCTCGGGGGCTGCTCAGGTGTTCCCTTTAGATGTTCCTGGTGCATGTTGTCTCTCTCCTCCTTTATAGTCCTCTTCCACCAATCCCAACTCTGCTACCCACATGCCGAGTACGCTGCTCTCCTCCAATCAGGAGCAGGATCTGCTCCTGCAGGTCATCATTCAAGTTGGCGAGAGGCAGCTGCATAGAAGTTGTTTCTCCCTTCTCAGCGCCATATTGTGGGAGAGCAGATGCATAGAATAAGTCTTAATTCCAGTAACAGTCTAGTCCGAGATGCTCCCCACAAAACTCACTTCACTGTGAAAAGGTTTTTGCTGAGGTATCTGTTCTCTTTTACCTTTCACTATGTCTGTCCTTTAGCCAGTACCGCACTCTTCTGATTATTTTAACTTTGTTGTAAGCTTTGAAATTTGAAAGTGTGACTCTTCTAACTTACTTTTTCATTTTCAAAACTATTTTGTCCATTAAATTTCCATTCAAATTTTAGGATTTCCTGTTTTTGTAAAGAAAAAATGCATTGTGATTTTTAGCAGTAATTGTGTTGTTTTTAAGATGACTTTGGGTAGTATTGACATTTTAAAAACGTTAATACTTCCACTCCCTGAACATGGTATGTCTTTCCATTTGTATCTTCTTCAATTTCTTTGGGCAGTTTTTCATGGTTTTAAATGAACCAATATTTGATCTCCTTGGTATACTTTATTTTTTTTAATGGTTTATTTATTTATTTGAAAAACTAAGTGACAGAGAGAGGGAGTGAGAGCCAGAGAAAGAGATCTTCCATCCACTAATTCATTCCCCAAATGGACACTAAAACCAAGGCTGGACCAAGCCAAAGCCAGGATCTAGGAATTCCATTCAGGCCTCCCACCTGGGTGGCAGGGGCCTAAGAACTTGGACCATCATCTGCGTCTTCTCAGGCATATTATCAGGGAATTGGATTGGAACCAGAACACCCAGGACAGAAGCCAGCCCTCTGATATGAGATGCTGGCATCATGGGTGGCAGTAGGTGACTTAATCCTCTTGCACCACAATGCCAGTCGCATAAATATATTTTTAAGTGTTTTATTTATTTTGATGGTATTGTAAATTATTAATTTCCTTTCAAATTGTACATTGTTAATGTAGAGAATTTGGTGTCTGATTTTGTGTCCTACAACTTTTCTGAATTCATTTATTCTAATTTTTTTCCTGACGAATATTTAGTTTTTAAAATAAAATAAACAAGGATATTATCAATGGAGAATACAACTTAGGAAATCGCAAGAATGTCAAAATGAAAAGTCACTAAGCTTTAAACATACAATACATTATCAGATGCAGTAAAATATTAATTAGCCTGAATTCTGCATCAGAAAGAAAAAGCTATGGAAAAAATGTCTACATTGTTTATTTGAGGCCAGCATTGTGATGTAGTGGTTAGAATGTTGCGTGCAATGCCAACATCTTATATGAATAGCAGTTTGGGTCCTGGCTCCTAAACTTCTGATACAGCTCCCTGCTAACGCACCTGGGAAAGAAGCAGAAGATGGCCCAAGTGTTTGGGTCCCTACTTTCGTGTGGGATTCGCAGATGAAGCTGCTCACTCCCGACTTCAGTCTGGCCTAGCCCTGGCTATTGTAGCCATTTGTAGGGTGAAAGAGCAGATGGAAGATCGATCATTCTCTTTTTTCTGTCTCTCCTTTTCTGTAACTCTGTGTTTCAAATATACAAATCTTAAAAAAAAAAGTTATGTATTTGAGAAAGAGATATATTTAAAATATAAAGTATAAGAATGCTACAGTACAGATTACAAAAGCCAACACATACTAACTTACTGTTTCTCTAGACTGAACTACATTTGGTCCTTAAAATTAAAAAGCAAAAAATAAAAAACAATTCCTTCTAACTCATCCAAATACACTTCATGAGTATGAGATCCATGAAGTGACTTCAGCTTAAAACATTGAGACAAATTGGGGCTGGCATTGTGATTTAATTGGTAAGTCTTCCACCTGTGATATTGGCATCCCTTATGGGCACTGGTTAGTGTCCCAGCTGCTCACTACTGACACAGCTCTTGTTAATGGGCTGGGAAAAGCGGCAGAAGATAGCTCAACTGTTTGGACCCCTTCAACCCATGTGGGAGACCTGATGAAGCTCCTGGCTCCTGGTTTCAGCCTGGCTCAGTGCTGGCCATTATGGTCATCTGTGGAGTAAATCAGTAGATGGAAGATATCTGTCTTGTGTCTCTCTCTCTCCTGTAACTATTTCAAATAAGTAAATAAATCTTCAAAAATTCAGCAAAATTGACCTTTCTGTACACAGGGAGGTGTCCTTAATAAATATATAATGAGATTTTCCTGTTTCTAAAACTGCAAAAATATGACCATTACAAAATTTAATATTGGGGGCTGGCATTGTGGCCCAGCAGGTAAAGCCGACATCTGCAATGTTGTCATCACATATGGGAACTGGTTCTAGTCCTGGCTGCCACACTACCAGCCCAGCTCCCTGGCAGTGTACATGGGAAAGCATTGGAAGAAAGCACAAGTGTTTGGCCCCTGCACCATGTGCAGACACAGATGAAGCTCCTGGATCCTGGCTTTGGTCTGGCCCAGCCTTGGCCATGGCGACCATTTGAAGAGTGAACTAGCAGATAGAAGACTTCTCTGTCTCTGCCTCTGCTTCTCTCTCTGTAACTTCATCTTTCAAATAAATAAATAAATAAATCTTATTTTAAAAAAGAAACATCAGATATATTCAATGCCTTAAAGAAAAAAAGTTCCAACCAAGAATATTATATCCAGTGAAGCTATCCTTTAAAAGTGAAGGAGAAGGGGCAGCACTGTGGCACAGCAGGTTAAAGTCCTGGTCTGCAGCGCTGGCATCCCATATGGACACTGGTTCGAGCCCTGGCTGCTCCTCTTCCAATCCAGCACTCTGCTATGGACTGGGAAAGCAGTGGAAGATGGCCCAAGTCCTTGGGCTCCTACACTGTGTGGAGACCTGGAGGAAGCTCCTGGCTCCTGGCTTCGGATCAGTGCAGCTCCAGCTGTTGTGGCCATCTGGGGAGTGACCAGCAGAAGGAAGACCTTTTTCTTCCTCTCTCTGCCTCTCTCTAACTCTACCTTTCAAATAAATAAATAAATATTTAAAAGAAAAAGTGAAGGAGAAATAAATTGTTTTCTTGGTAAGAAAAACTGGAAGAACTCACCAGACCAGCCTTACAAGACCTTCTGAAGGGTGTCCTGCATTAGAAATAAACATCATGAAAACACATGGCCTCACCAAATTCACTAACAGAGCAGGTGGAACCATTATCCAATCAACAAAATGAGAGGTCTTAGTTCTTATCTATACTAACCTTGAATGTAATTGGATTAAATTAATCAATCTGGATATGAAATAGTAATCCAAAGTTTTCCATCAAAGAAAAGTTCAGGACCTGATGACTGTACTACTTAATTCTACAAAACATTCAAAGAGAAAGTAACTCCAGTGCTTTTCAAGCTGTTCCAAAATATTAAACAGGTTGGAGCTCTGCTAAACTTTTTTATGAAGCTGGTATTACCTTATACCAAAGCAAAACAGAGACACAGCACACACAAAATTGTGTACCTTTATTCTTAATGAACATAGATGCAAAGATTCTCAACAAAATACTAGCTAATCTAACCTAAAGCCATATGAAAATGATCATACATCATAATCAAATGAGATTTATCCCACAAGTGTAATGGTGGCTGAACATTTGCTAATCAGTAAGCATCATAAATCATATCAATGGAAGGAGAAGCAAAAATCCTATGGTCTTCTCAATGGATGCAGAGAAAGCATTTGATAAGATTCAGAGAGATGGAGACAGAGAGGTTTTTTATCCATTGGTTCATTCTCTAGATGGCCACCATGGCCAGGGCTGAGCCAAGCCACAGCTGGAAGCCAGGAGCTTCGTCTGGATCTCCCAAATGGGAGCAGGGTTCTAAGCACTAGTACCATCCTCCATGGCTTTTCCCATACCTTCAGCAGGGAGCTGGATCAGAAGTGGAACAGCTAGGACTCAAACTGGCATCTGTATGGAATGCCAGCATCATAGGACACAACTTTACCCACCACACCACAATGCAGGCCCTGGGATTTAATTAGTAATGCAATCAACTAATTCACTTGCATATCTATTCAGATTTTCTATTCTTGATTCAGTCTGGGTAGGTTGTTTGAGTGTATGTTTTATAGTGTCAGGGAGATGCAGATTTGACATTGTTTTCACATCCTTCTGATGTCACTCTCCATTGTATTATTTTTACCATTATGTTATTAATGCAACTGTTAATTCTCTCTGTTCTCTAACATTCCGCAGGTAAGTTAATCAACTTGATTTCCTCTTATTCAGCATCCTCACCACATTATACCACAGTGTCCAGGCAACTGTAGAAGTATGTCTCAAGATCCAGTTGTCTTCTTAGCTGTCTAACAAGAACAGTGCTGTCATATAAGAAAACATTCATTAGCTAGTAAGGATTCTGTTGGGAGTTATATAGTCAAACTGCATTCTGCTTTTTTTGGTGTGCTGTCTTTTAT